TGTGTGTGTGTGTGTGTGTGTGTGTGTGTGTGTGTGTGTGTGTGTGTGTGTGTGTGTTCCTCAGGCCGGTATATGGAATCCCGCTCACGAACCAGTTGTGATATTAAATGTGAACCATGCACAGGCGACCGCTACACAAAAGTCTACAACGTGGACATGAGCTGCAACGTTTGTGACACTTGCAACAAACGTGAGTTACTGTAGAAATATCCCTTACTTGCACAGGTGTCAAAAAGAATTCATCTTCATTAGTTAAGCAGAAGTATAGATTAGGCTTTAAAAACACTTTTGGAAGYAGAAGTATCAACTCATGCTTTTTACTTGAAAGTGTAAAAGTACTCGTTTTAAAACTACTTAAAGTATAAAAGTAATGTAAGAGGAACTAAAGCCATTAAGGTTAAAAGCTACAGGGGTCTGCAGTGCACAAATCCACCTCCCTATAAAACATTTTTCTGAAGGCGATTATGTCTATAAATATACTAAAATGTTGAAAAATGTCGTCTGTTTCAACCGCTGTGATGTGATTTGTCGTGACATGGATCCTGCAAACCAACAGGGTGTCAGAATGGTTTATGTTAAAAGTTCTTTCAGTAAATGATGTGTCACTGCAGAGAAGATGAGACGTGAAGCTCTTACATCAGCAGAAAACACATTTGACTCTCACCGTCGTCAGATCAGCAGCTTGGTTTTGACTTGAAGACCTAAGAGATCAATCATTACTGTGAAAATACTACATCAGCCCGTCGCTATGCTTCTTTCTTTTTGTGTGTCAACTCTGACTGAAGTCTTTTGAGCATGATGTGAGAATGACTCATCTGTCGCCCCAGTCGCTAAATTTGACCAGTTTCTTAAACGCGGCCGACTGTTAGCTGTTACTCAAATCTAACTGTACATCAAGATTTCAGAGAAGTTCTCTTGCAGAAAAAAAAAACACGATGAAATCATATAGCTGAGGGAATTTCCCATTTGTCAAGTTTAGGGGGGGGGTACACAGTCAGACAGAGACAGTGAGGAGGGTAAAGGTGGTCTGTGAAAACATCTGTGAACCAACAGAGTTTGTGCTTCTGAATCCACAGTGGCTTTGCTTTAATTTGAATGGCAGCCCACTGAGACATAAAAGTACCTTTTTCAGTCATATTAGTGGAAAGAAAGAAAAAGAGACGTTTAAAAAGAGAGAAAAACATCGGAAAAAAAAACTAAGGTGCCCTGTGTTTTTCTTTAGGTCTGTGCTGCTGCAGGTGAATGAAAACAGATGGTTGTGCTTATTTCTAAATGTCACGGGGGAAACAGACAAGAATAATAGAGGGCACAGTTGTGAGTCTCAGGCTGAAATATATGCACATAAATTAGTTTGATCTCCTAACATATTTTAAGCTCATGGTTTCCTGTGTGTCAGTCTGAGTTTACAGTGAATACAGTTTTTTWAAATAAGACAAACCTTTGTTTATCTTCTAAAAACATCAGTTTGAAGCGTCATCTGCAGAATCACAGGAAGGTGGGTGTCTGACAAAACTAGACAATCAGGGGCTTTATATCAGTTAACATATATGAAAACATACTTAAGTGGAAATGATTCCACCCACGCTGAAATTTCACATGCTGACCTTGTACCAATGTTTCTGTGGTGCTTTGGTCTTTAACGCCATGCTAGCAGAGCGAAAGTGCACACGTCGAGCAAAAAAACCTGCCGTTTTCAAGGCTTGATTCTCTAAATGAGATCARCCATGTGATTGATTTGTGTTTGACACAGATAGGGGATATTCAATGTTGCTTTTGACCACCATAAACATCACAAATGTCATTTTATGGTCGACCCACTTGCAAATTGTTGCGTGATTGTTAGAAATGGACGACATCTAGGAGATGTTTGTTGAGCTGTTTTCTTACAGCATTAAATTCAGCTACGTATTTGCCACTAAAACAGTAAAAATTTGTTTTTGCAGCCTGATCTGTGAACCTAAATGTTCCAACAGCTGCTGGTAAACATTTGTTTTGCGATGACTCTGTTGAAGTCATGTAAGTAGTTTTCTGTTTGCTAATTTGCGACTTCAAATCAGAAGCCTGTTTTAAGAAAAGGAAATTGTTTTATCAAAATGAAACAGTGTTTTCACCGAGAAATAACTTTTGACTAGAGCACCAAAGAGGAGGTGATAATTTAACTGTCCTCTGACTGAAAACTAGAACCTGTACCCCCGAGACCCAGTTTGTGACTCATTCTGCATTTTCTGATACATGTCACATTTTAGAGCCACTGTTTAAATAAAAAAAGACACTGAATTATTGGGGCTTCACTTTTCTTATGTTGTTTTTAAACCATGTTTTCTCCTCAGCCAACTTTGAGACCAAGACCAACTGCACGTCCACCAGTAACACTGTTTGCAGATGTAAAACTGGCTTTAAATGCAAAGACAAGTCCTGCTCAAAGTGTGTGCCAATCCCAACCCCAACCCCCATCAGGACCACCCTACCTCCAGCCACTACAGGTGAGACACACGTGCTCCTAGGCACAGTCGCCAGAAACATGAGACACTGAAAGAGTTACTCTYTTTAATACATTTGCACGCAACCGCATCCTGATGCATACAAACATGTATTTTGAACTGCGTGCTGTGACAGAAGAAGCTATAAATAGTTTCTGCTGAAGCTCATCCAGCCTGACCGTTGGGTGTGGTAGAAAATGTGGTCGTTTGTGAACTCGTTTAACTCTGATAGTATCCGGTTTGTAAAGACTGAACGACCAAAGATCAACAAAACGGTTTAATATGAAACATTTTGTGTCAACTTTGAAGTGGTGTGCATTAAACATTAAACACCGCATCAATCTGCTCCTTTATGCTGATGAGCAACACTGGTTATTGGCCTGCTTAAAATACAGTTTTAAGTTTTAAAGTACCACATTACAAGGACAAAAAAATAAATGAATGAATAAATTAATTAATTAATTAATGCACATTAATGATAATTTTACAGCTAAATAATTATAATTAGTTTGTGTTGTTTGTTGTTAATAGTTGTAGAAGCTAATAAATATGGGAAATTATTTGAATTAATGAGCCTTTATTGTGTGTTAAAGGGAGAGTTCAGATCTTATGAAGTAAGGGTTCTTTGGAATGGTTATGAACGATTAATATCTTACCTGTTGCAGATAGAGCATTGAGTCACCTCAAGCATGCATGGGTTTTCTCCAGGTACTCCGGTTTTTCTCCCATAGACCATAAATATACATGTTAGTCAGTAACCATAAACTCAGTCAGTAGATGCCAGCAGTTGTTCGTCTATGTGTCTCCTTGTGATGGACTCCAGACCTATTCAGTGGGTTAAGTGGATGGATTATTCAAACAGTTTTTTAAAGCTTTACATCATAAATTTTAGATTCAGTTATTTATGAAAAAAAAGAGTTGCGATATTCCTGTAAGAAATGAAGATGTGGTCGAGGCCCCGCTCAGATTAGCCCTTATCAGTCCAGTCAGATTTTCTTTAGTTAAATTGAGATGAGTCTAAGAGTTAATAGATAAGACATTTTATATGCTTGTCATAGAAACCCACTTCAAAAGGTTTGAACTATTGCTTTAAGTGTCCTAATAACGGGGAAAAGGATATGTATATATATTTTAATCTGCACATGGTCCAATTTGTTAGTCAGTGGATGTTTATATCATGTCATCACTAACAAAAAAGGAACACACAGACAGCTGTATCAGGAAAAAGACCGAGTTTCTTTGATTTTAGCTGCAGTTCAGAATGAGGTGAAGGCTCCAGGATGAAATATAAAACCAAAACTGTGTAAGAAAGCAACCAATTCAAAAGAAAATTCTTCAGAAAGCCTGGAGACTTCTTGCTGAAAACAGTTTTATAAGCAGCTCACTGCAGGGGCACCGGGGGGTGTGGGGGTGGGGGTGTGTCTTGCACTGAGCTAAGTTTTCCACTTTCCTTTCAGCCATCTCCAGAGCTCCTGTTAAACCAAACAAAGGTAAAATTAATAAATAAAATGATGGTAACTTAACAACAAAATAATAGCCTCTCCCTCGACTTAATGTTGGCATGAAATCTTCTAAAATATTTTAATTTTGTTTTTTTGCAGAAACAGTGTGGTTCCTGGTGATCATTGCTCTTCTGTGCGCAGCAATCGGTGTGGTTGTTCTGACAAAACTTAAGAGAGTGCTGCACTGCATCATGTCTAATCACGGTCAGTCCAACGTCTTTATGAAGGAAAACACCCTGCAGCTGCTTTAAAAGGATAGATCGTTATTAAAAACCCTTTAGTTTTTTCTACATTTTAACATCAGACAGAAGATTCTATTTTAATTCTTTACATTGTTCTTATTTGGAAGTTGTTTTGAGACTAAATTAATCCACTTTARTCCTAGCCATTAGCCTGTCAGTCTGATTTCAACTGTTTCTTAAAAACAAGACAGCTCTATCTTCTAAGGGTTTAACAAAGCTTTGATCCACATCAATATTCATATTGTGATAGTTTGTTTTACAACCCCACTACCTACAACAGGTAATATACTATTTGTTCATAAGCTTTCCAAAGAACCCCACTTCAAAAGATGTAAGTTTTTACAAAGGACTGAGTGAAGTGTTTTAAAAAAATTCACTCTTCATATTATGACATTTTGCTTTGTCATCATGGAGTTAAATATGTGTAGAAAAAAAAGAAGTGTAAAACACAGAAATAAAATTCCTAAATCTGTTTCTTTTCTTTTCTGGTTGCTCAGGTTACTTTATGGCAGAGAAAACTTCTACAGAAACTTCGTCCACAGAGGATGAAGATGTGTCCAAACCCGTCCAGGAGGTGTGTGGGAAATGTGACCAGCCCATTGACGTGTGAAAGATTAGATCCTGAAACTGGATGAGTAAAATAACTTGACAGTAGAATATTCAGTGGAAATTAGACGGATGCAAGCACATCTGTTCTAAAAACACGAACATTTACAACACGCTTCTTTCTACAAGAGTGAAACGTCTTCAACTACAGAAACAAAATTCTGTTGTTTTGTGGGGGTTTTAATTTGCTTTTGGATTTACCAAGTCCTGGACGGTTGAGAATCGACACCAGCATATTTATGACACAACAGCAGCAGCGCTCTAGTCTGTTTTGACTGGAAACCAAGGACAACAAACGGGACAGCGCATGGGTCAAGATGGATGCTTTTTTTTGGGGGGGGGGATTTGACAAGAAGATGAAAAAGTGAAAACCCAGAAATTTAGAATGTGGAGGATTTATAACCTCTGAATGCACAGTGGGAACATATAATAGTTATGCATGATCTTTGCAGTATGTTGTTAAACAGGGTATGTACTATAGTACACAATATACACAGTAAATATGCACACCTGCCTTTTTATAATACTAGTTAAAAGAATTCTCATGTAAAAATGACTGTGTCCAAACGTTAAACCTCTTAAGTATGTATATTAAACTATAAATACATATATTACATATATGTATGTTTACGTATAAATATGTGACTTGTATATATGTATATAGTTTCAAATTTTTTTACAACTCTGTTTCCTTTATTCACAATAAAAAATTTATTTCACTCAAAATGTTTACAAGTGCCATAGCTGACGCAGCTAATTTGAAAGTATTTACATAGTTTGATGAGTAATAACTTACAAAAAAGATCACATTCCACAGAGTTTTCCGGGACCTGCAGGGAATATTGCAGCTGTCAGTTTTCCAGAGGTAGATGAATCGTCCCTACACGTCTCTGTAGTTGAGTTTACACTTTTGTAATGTTTTTTTTAAAAGATTGAATTCTCTGAATGCCAGCATTTCCTTTAAAAACAAGTCCCGTGGGATACTTCTGAGACGTCACAAGACCTCCTCCTTGGACATGTGGTAGTCCTTGCCTTGCTCCTGGGAGGGGAAGAAGATGTTGTCCGCCTCGCTGCTCCTCTCCTCCTCGGAGAGAGGAACACTGGGCGAGGGCGCATGATGAAACACCGGACAGTCTTTCTCGTCTTCCCCTCTCTTTCCGCCCAGAATCGTCGGGCCGACCTGACCCGTGAACTGACTGAGCAGGCTGAAGATGACTGTTCCCGGGTTGTGAACGTGAACCGGGCCTGCAGAAACATGAAGCAAGAAGAAAACTAGCTTAGAATTTCTTGAAGGAATGTGCCCACCAAAAGTAAAATTGAAAAAGGATATTACCTTTTTGATTAAATCATAAAAATATTAATGCACAATTACATGGATTACAGAAAGATGTATTTTCTCGGAGTATGTATGTGTTGCCTCTCAGCTACTACCACACAAAATTTTAGCTCAATATCTGTAATTCTGACTGAGTTAAGAGTAATGTTTATTAGATGTTGCATCCATCCTGCAGTCACATCGTCCAGTGTGTGGTGAGTCGGTTAGTGTTGCAGTTCTAACCCATCACACCATACATGGTGATTTAGAAATGTGGTTCAGTAAAACTACATCAGTAGAAATAAACCATGATGCATTGCAGCCCCAACACAGCTAATCAAGGCTAATGCTAACAGCCGCAACTCATTCTTGTGTGTTTCACACCTGTTGAAAATCCCCTCGATAATCTAGAATCTCCAATATAAAATGCATCTCTGTTTGAGCTGCAAGGTTTTAGAAATGGTCAGGAAAATGTGAATTAGTCTATATTTAAAACATTTAGATTTAAAAATTTTAAACTGTTGCAGTTGATGCTGCAGTGTGTGGCTGTGTCAACCTGTTTTATAGAGACAGATCATGTTAATTACATTTTATCAGCCCAAACCAGTGCTGTTATCGTGTCCATCACATCAGATTCTGGTGTGTGATCCAGCTTTTCTTTATAGCTTTATTTCTGTGAACTGAATACCAGGTACATAATAATGACATACTCAGTTTAAGTACTGTTAGAGATGCAAAACCACTGCACCGTCCCCTATCCCTACATCTGTTATGAAATGAGTGAATGCATGAACACATCAAACAAAGTTACTCAGTTGAAGACAAAAATCCAGGGATTACATTCTGAGAGTTTATTTAAAATCCAATTCTATCCAATGGTTGATGGGATATTTTGTTAACAGTCAGTGCTGACTCCAACAAAGACCTCCCTCCATCTTGTTGGGGAGAATCGCTCTCAACTACCACCAYGCCAAATTTAAGCCATTTCCTGTAAAAGCAACAGAGCAACAGCTACTTTTGTGTTTGCTAATGTTAATCAGCGGTGGCAGCCATCTTAAACCAGGTCGACTCCAAAAGTGAATCAGCTGCAAATATACATTCAACAGTTAGTCTATAGATTGATTTATCAGTATCAGCTTTGTAGAGAGATCTAGCACAAGACTGAATAAATGTGTGAATGGGTAAATGAGGCCACAGATTGTGGTGTAAAGCACTTTGAGTACTCTGGTTGGATAGAAAAGCGCTATATAAGTACAGTCCATTTATCATTTAGTTTCTAAGATTTTCATTAAAATCAAARTGCACACATTGCCTTTTGTGGTTGCTGGTCATAATAATAATAATAGTAAAACATAACGAGTTGTTTTAACAACTGTTTTAACCTTAGCATAGCTTTTAGTGGTACAACAGCTGCGTCTTAAACTTTTTACTATTTCTTTATCATCCAACATCATGAATCACATATTTTAAATGAAAAGTACCTAAATTGGCAGCAGAAGAGGACGAAGTCTGCTGCTTTGCACTGGATGAGTCTTTGGGGAACTGATGCATTGCCTCCTTTGATGTGCTAGGAGCATCTTTTCCTTTCTAAAAATAATAAAAAAACATATTTCAAAACATGGGAAACACAAGAAAATCTGGAATAAGCTGTAAACAAACGCTCTCGATCCCAAAGCTTACCTCATTGCACAGCTTTGTGATAGCTGAAAGAACAGAAGAAATGATGAGTAACAGAACTAGTTTCAGGAGCTCAACCATGACTCATCCTCAACATCATTTGTGGAGCGTAGAGTCAGAAAATATTTGCAAACCTCCGCACAAATTTGTAACATATTCATTTGAGTTCTTTTCAGTTTAAATGTTTGTTGTTTGCCAGAGATGATTCAACCAAAAGGTTTGACTAAGACTCCAGAAACCATTAAAAAAAAATAAACGTCTTACTTTGTCTGAAACATGTTTCATCTCGGGGGCTATAGATGCAGAACAGGGCGAGGAGGGCAACAAATCCAATAAAAGTCAAGGGGCACAAAATGGCTGCCAGCTGAGCATTCCTGTGTTCTGAGACAGAAATATGATTTAAAATGTTTATTAAAGTTGCAATGAAATCTCTCCATCCAATATCACATGTTGATACTTGTGGCATTCTTCAAGGCTTCTTGGCCCACTACTATTTTCTATTTATACATTACCTCCTTGTCAATTTATTTGCAAATATATCTCTTTTCACGTTTTTTATATATATATATATATATATATATGCTGATGATACTCAAATTTATTTAGCTTTTGATCCACCAGATCTGTCTGCTGTAAACATAGGTTCATGTCTCTCTGATATTAAGTTCTGGATGTCCGATAACTTTTTATTGTTAAACAATAACAAAACTGAGGTGCTTGTTTTTGGTTCCAAGGCTCATAGAGACCCTATTATTCAAATTCTTAACTCGTCAGGTTTACATTGTGCCCATAAGGCTAGGAACCTTGGGGTGGTTCTAGATTCAGATCTGAGCTTCGTAAAACATTTTAAAAAATAATTAAAACAGGCTTTTATCAAATTATGAATTTTGCCAAAATAAGATCAATGATCTCTTTTGCTGATGCTAAACCCTCATTCATGCTTTTGTCTCCTGTCATCTTCCGTTTCTGTTTTCTGCCGCTGATMCGGGGTCGGGTCGCAGGGGCAGCAGCCTAAGCAGAGAGACTCGGACTTCCCTCTCCCCAGCCACTTGGGCCAGCTAGGGAATCTCGAGGCATTCCCAGGCCAGCCGAGAAACATAGTCCCTCAGCGTGTCCTGGGTCTTCCTCTGGGCCTCCTCCCAGTGGGACGTGCCCGGAACACCTCACCAGGGAGGCGTCCAGGAGGCATCCTAACCAGATGCCCGAGCCGCCTCAACCGGCTCCTCTCGACATGGAGGAGCAGTGGCTCTACTCTGAGTCCCTCCCGGATGACCGAGCTTCTYACTCCATCTCTAAGAGAGAGCCCAGACACCCTGCAAAGGAAACTCATTTTGGCCGATTGTGTCTGTGATCTCATTCTTTCAGTCACTACCCAAAGCTCGTGACCATAGATGAGGGTAGGAACGTAGACCGACCGGTAAACCGAGAGCTTTGCCTTCTGGCTCAGCTCCCGCTTCACCATGACAGACCGGTACAGTGCCCGCATCACTGCAGATGCAGCACCAATCCGCTTGTCGATCTCCCGCTCCATTCTTCCCTCATTCGTGAACAAGACCCCAAGATACTTGAACTCCTCCACGACCCAGAGGCTACTGGTTTCTGGCTCAAGACCATGGTCTCGGATTTGGAGGCACTGATCCTCATCCCAGCCACTTCACACTCGGCTGCAAAGTGCTCCAGTGAGAGCCAGAGATCACGATCTGATGAAGCCAATTGGACCACATCATCTGCAAAAAGCAGAGATGTGATCCTAAGGTCACCAAAAAGGATCCCCTCAACACCTCGGCTGCGCCTAGAAATTCTGTCAATAAAACTTATGAACAGAATTGGTGACAAAGTGCAACCTTGGCAGAGTCCAACTCTCACCGGAAACAAGTCCGACTTACTACCGGCAATGTGGACAAAGCTCTGGCACCGGTCATACAGGGACCTAACAGCCCGTATCAATGGGCCCGGTACCCCATACTCCCGGAGTACCCCCACAGGAGTCCCTGAGGGACATGGTCGAACGCCTTCTCCAAGTCCACAAAACACATGTAGACTGGTTGGGGGAACTCCCACGCACCCTCCAGGACCCTGCTAACGGTGTAGAGCTGGTTCGCTGTTCCACGACCAGGACGAAAACCACAGTGCTCTTCCTGAATCTGAGATTTGACCATCTGACGGACCCTCTTCTCCAGAACCCCCGAATAGACCACCACCACCTCATTCTGCCAATCCAGGGGAACTGCCCCTGATGTCCACGCAATATTGTAGAGTCGCATTAACCAACACAACCGCACAACATCCAGAGCCTGAAGGAACTCCGGGCGAATCTCATCCACCCCCGGCGCCTTGCCACTGAGGAGCTTTTTAACCACCTCTGTGACCTCGGCACCAGAGATTGGAGAATCCGACCCAGGGTCCTCAGGCTCTGCTTCCACATGGGAAGCCGTGTCGGTAGGATTGACTCCTGTCATCTTTATTTGCTGGTCTGCCTAAAAAAATCCTTAAACATCTCCAATTAGTACAAAATACAGCAGCTAGAGTACTAAGGAGAACCCAGAAATATGATCATATCACTCCAGTTCTTGCTTCATTACACTGGCTACCTGTGGTGTTTAGGATTGATTTAAAGATTATATTGTTAGTTTTTAAATCATTGAATAGACTTGCACCWTCATATATTACTGAGTTACTACTCCTTACCACTGCTTGCGACCTCTGAGATAATCTGATCAGTTGTTACTTTTGGTGACCAGGGCAAGATAGAGTGTGATCAAGCCTTTTACATTAGGGCTCCTCTTTTATGGAATACAGTGCCATTCATCAGACTAGCCTCTTTGTTGTCTTTTTTTAAAACTCATTTTAAATTTTTTTGTTTGTGCTATGTATTTTGTTTTGATTTTATTATGTGATGCAAAGCGCCTTGTAACTGTTTTGAAAAGTGCTATACAAATAAATGTAGTGTTGTTGTTAATATTATTAATATTATTGCTGTAATTATTATTATATTAACTGTTAAACAATGCCATCTGAAGGGATTAAACAAAGCAAACAAATAAAAAAAGATTAATGAAGGCTGAATGTTTTCTAACACTTTATTTGAGGTTATCACTAAAGTTTTGTTGATCTTTAAACCCATCTGCTTTTCTATTGGTTTCTGTTCAGTTCTCTAAAAATGTTTTTCTTCTTCTTTTTTTTAGAGGAATAAACCTGACATAACCAACAAAATTTACAAAATATTACATTAAAAGTGCCTTGACTGTTTTATTTACAACATGCTGCAGGCATTGATCTCCGTTTGATAAATTTTCTGTAATTATAAAAATTTGTAAAATCCCAATTTTGTTTTGGTCTGGAGATACTTTAAGTGTGAAGTTATGAATATCATCCTCACCTTTATCAGAACTGGTCCCAGAGCCAGGATCTGGTGTTGGGACTGGCTGAAGGCCACATCTGGGTGAAAAATCTCAAATAAGTAAGTCTTCAAACAAAATTTACTGTAAAACAACAGTTTTAACCTGCATGGAAGGATGCACTGGGACTCACTTTGGGGACCGGCAGGGTTCTGTTTGACCCGAGGAAGGAGGAGAGGATGCAGGTTTACTCGAAACCGCTACTGCAAAACAAAACGTCACAAGTTAGTATCAAAGAACATCATTGAATTAGATATACAATCTTACTGTTGAAAAAAAAAACTTTGTTTGAGATCTTATTTATTCTCTGAACTCCAGCAGCTCAGATTTGCTTCTCTGTAATTTTGTTACTCATCAAATCTTATTGCTCCTTAATTTCCTKTCATTGTTCTAGCCTCAGAGAAAATACATAAAATAAACCCTCCTCTACACAAACTTGTTTGTTCTTTGTTAAACAAACTTTCAGCCACTTGAGGGCAGTGAAAATGTGTGTTGAGATTTCAGTGGTGTGTGGTTGAAGTGAAGGTGTGAAACAAAACAAAACAAAACAAGRTCCTGAAATTGGTGGTAAACCTCTGGACTTTAGGTTTGCAGTTTTGGGTGTTAAATTCGATGAGTTTTCTTCACATTTTCTCTTCCTCCTCGCCTGTCTCACTATTGTGATAGAAATATGGTGCATTTACAGAATTAGAGAGCAAAACTGACACCTTATTTTTTCAAGTTGGGTAAACAGTTTAGTCAATATTCTTAACTCAGATATTTCTAATATTTCTAAACACTATGTTTCAAAATGTAAATCTGTCTGATCGGAACAACAATGAAAGTTTTTACTCAAACAGGATTACAAACCGAAATAAACAATTTGACTCCTTACAAAATTAGGAGCCCAGAATTCTGGTCAGATCTTGAAAATACCATCATGTGTAAAATGTCATGTGAGATTGTCATGGTTCATGGATGTTTGAAACCAGAAATCCAGACTGACTCGAAGAGCCCAAAAATGAAATTAAACTTGATTTTAAAGCAAAACAAAAACACATTGAAGCAACAAAAAGCTTCCAAACAGCACAGAGAAGTCTGTGTGTGGCAGAAAACCAATAMTGCTCAACCGGCAGTGCAGTGTAGACAAACTTTATAGTCTGGGACCAAAGCAGTGCTTCTCAATTATTTTCTGCCATGACCCCCTAGGGAACTTAATTTATTTCACACACACCCCGCCCCCATGACTTTAGATATTGTTGAAAGCATTTATTTATCTGTACAAACCACTGWATGACTTTCTGCCACCAGCATTCTGCATAGAACCACCTGATAATGGCAAATAAACACTGCATTGTGTATAAAAAAACATGTATTATTACCGTTAATTTAAAAAAAATTTAAGATTGGTTAATTCAAAATACACTTAAAATTAATTTTATGTTAAATGAAGAAAGTTAATTTTACTTAAAGAACCGTGAGGTATCTTGATTTCTGTGGTGCTCCTTTTTCAAGTACAATAAATTCATAATAAATGAATAAAATAAACTTTTTAGCCCTGACATCTCACTGTGCCCCACCCAGGCAGCCGCGCCCCACTATCTGCGAAGCACTGGACTAACAGTCCATTCTAAACTGGTAAAAACCAGCCCCTTGTTCTTTGTTTTGCTTTGTACAGAGGATCTGGACCCTCCGCTCAGCTATTGAGAAACGATGGCTTTGATGGAGGCGTGGACTCTGTTGAAGTTTGAAACAATTGGATCTGATTTACCCAATCGCTAACGTTTGGCCGTTACATATGTGCACCAGCTTGACTGTGAAGGAAGCTATGCTAAGAGGCTAACCGTTAAGTGTGTGTGCTGTAAACAACCATCCCCTACTGGGCAGRGAGAAGCTGAACAAGATGACTGTAAATGAGAGCTGCAGGCTGTGTGAGACAAAATTTATTTAATTTGGAATCCTTGTCAACACTTGCTTCATTCACTTCCTCCACTGCCATTGCTAAAYTACAGGCAGACTAAAAGAGCGCAGAAAATCAACGTTGTTCACAACTCCTAGTTCAGTTTGCTGATTCAATTGAAATTCTACAGGAGAAAACACSAGTCTAACTTCCAATGTCTGATATATWATTTGAGTGAAAAAAASAACAACCTCTACCTGTCCTGTGTTGTGGTTTAWATGCTCAGCTTGAAGTCTGCTACAGTGGAAGGGAGGAATTACAATGGTTTAATCCCCCTCGTTTGACTGTAAACACTCTATGAGACGAAGATGTGTGAAATAATGTCASCACAGATCCACTGYCTCACATCTTGTTGAAGTATGAACCAGCCTTAACGAGGGAAAGTGGCTGCAGCTGTGATATGTGTAACAGGGAGTGGGTGTAAGTTGACAAAACTGAGGGAGCAGTGGCTGATGGCACAGAGGAAACTCAAAGAACGAATACACAAGAATCACAAAACATAAATAAACCTAATCATAACACACAAAACACAAACTGAGAAATGAGGTGTCCCTCTCAGAGTATGTGTTGTTGATAACTCTCTGCAACTACCRCTTCAAATCTAAGCTGTAAAATTACTAAAACCATTTTTTGATGGTTAATGTCAATTAGCTGAGGCAGCCATCCTAAATTAAATAATTAACTTAACTTAAAGTATACACATCGTTCTTTTAAATCCTTCTTTTTCATATTTAAATCATTCAGTTGGGGTTTATAAAAAGTAGAACTGCAATGCTTTARTCTGAATTCCTCCTTACTGTAACTACACAAGCCCCTCTTTCACTGCTTTTCTGAGGTGTGTCTCAGATCAACTYGTTTTGAGGCTGTCTCTTTGAATCCAAACGAGGCGCTTCAGACCCTGCCCCCGTCCAGCTTCCAGAGCGGTCCATTCTAGTTTTATAGAGGGGTTTATGACTGTTAAGCATAAAGCGTATAGATATTTTGCTAACAAACAGGGCTGACTCAATTATTGCCAACATTTGAAGCAAAGAGCTCACACTCTTGAAGTATGTGTTGTTCATGACTTTCAGCTACTACCACATCACGTTTTAGCTCAACATCTGTAAAACCAACTGAATCGTAGTTGTTTTTGTGCCTTTTTTTCTTTTTTTTTAGCTGCGTCTGACTTTTTGAATCAATTTGGCTCCAAAAGTTGATCAGTTAAGATACACATTCAAAAATTACTTACTACAAGTTACTTTAAAATTTGTCTTGTGGTTCATGGGATATTTAGACAAGAACAAATCTGACAGAGTTTAAGGTTTTTTTTTTTCCAGTAGTTACCAGTTGTGTTCGGTACTCTCTCACAGGTTCTGCAGTTTTTTAAACCTGAGGCCATTGCGATGCATACGAACCCGGGCTCGCACTCACACTTCAGCGGGGTTGTACTTGTGCAGTTCTGAACCACCCTCAAGTGGTATTCTGAAACAGACAAATAAAAAGAACAGCTAAGGATCACTGCTGCACAAAGAGATCACAGCTGCGAGAGGCGTTTATGAAGCTTCCTGAGGTGAGAAGGATGCAAAGTGTTTCTTACTTGGCAAGCAGTCTCTGAAGCAGGGGAAGCAAGAGTCTTCGCTGTTCAGCTCAGACGTGWAAGTTCCTTCCCGGCAGGGTTCACACACGTTACAAGACTTTGCAAACTTACCTGTAAGAACAGACCAAAGAGAACCAAATCAAAACAACCGGATGAAAGGAACCAGGGAGGCCTGCAGGCCTGAAGTGCATATTAACAAAGGATGTGGTCATGTGCAGAATAATGTCACAGTGCAGCATGCGTCATCCTTTTTTTTTTCTTAGTACAAAGGCAAAAGAACAGAGAAGATTAAATGAAAGAGGGATTTTCACACTTAATTATTGTCGATTTGTTCAGTTGTATGACTTAAATACACTAAATATCTGTGTATTTCCTTACCTGCAGGACATTTTTGACATAACCTTTTAGAATCCCTGTAGGTCCCCTCCATCTGCTGATATTTGAACACAAATAACAATAAATCTCTAACTTCATGCAAGTCACAGTAATGCATTGACTTATATTTTATGTCTGACACTTTGTTTTTTTTTGTATAGTTAAATTGAATGAGATGATTTCTTTCTTTTTTTTTTTACCGTGGGAATGGCGAGCAGCAACTGTGCGGTCAACAGCACAGTCAAGAAGTATTGCACAAAACCCATCCTGATTGAGAGAAAAATGTAAGAAAGTACACAAATAAATATAAATACCTCTTAAGTACATGTTTCTTTCATGGTTGTTTATAAATATAACTTTCAGAAAGCAGGATATCATCTGTAAAACTGATCTTAAATCAACCCCAATGAAACAAAAGCCTTTACCTTAAACGTGATGCTCCTTCTCTTCTGCTTCTTGTTTTGTCAACTTYTACGAGGTGAGTTTAACCTCCTCCTCTTCTCACTCACTCTACCCATCCTGTGTCACTATTTCCTTACCTGGGTTACCTCTTCCTGTCTTCCTGCCCACTCATATTGTCATGTTTGTACTTTCGACTTCTCACATGCAGAGATGTCGTCTGACTAACGTTGCGGAATCAGGCCCATTATTTTTCCGCTCAAACTAAAATCTGACCAAAAAAAATAATAATCCAGAAAGACACACTCTGCACAGCTGATACACTGACATGATGGAAGAAAAGATYTTTGTGATAGCAGCAAGTGGTTTTTGTTACTGATTTGGTCATATTTTCAGGCATTTTTGATGTCAGTTTGTTCATGTGCTCCATGCAGAGTTGTTTAACTGACTCTAAAAGAGAAAAAAAGGTTAGTTTGCACAAATTTTAAAGAAAAATTCAGCCAGAAATAGAAAAGCATACAAAACAGACCATTTTTCCTCTTTCTGCTGTTTTTGATACTTTTCTCTAAATATTTTTAAATCATTGTTGCAATTATCTCTCTCTTTTGTTTGCTTTTTCTTTTCCCATTTTAGCCCAAACCTTTGTTTATCTGTGTCTCATTCCTGTCCTTTCAACTCCCACTGGTTGAGGTAAATTTTATACTTCAACACACTCCTTTGAACGTGTAAATATAACTCACTATTGTTCTTCCTTTGTTTGAAATTTATTTTCTTTTGAACATAACATTGTTTATTCTTTTATTTCAATTTGTTTAATAAAGTCAAAGTGCCGACCATCCTGAGTCTGGTACTTCTTTAGGCCACTTCCTGTTRGAAGGGAGTCATTCCACTCCACTGTCGCCCGCTGCCCTGTGCTTGCTCAGGATGGGAGAATGAATTGACAATTTAGAGCAATTCGCCTCCTGGATGACTGAGCTTCTCACCCTATCTCAAATRGAGAGCGTAGACACCCTGTGGAGGAAACTCATTTCGGCCGCTTGTATCTGCGATCTTTCGGTCACTACCCAAAGCTCGTGACCAGATGAGGATAGGAACGTAGACTGACAGGTAAACCGAGAGCTTCACCTTCTGGCTCAGCTCTCGCTTCACCACGACAGACCGGTACAACGCCCGCATCACTGCAGACGCAGCACCAATCTGCCTGTCGATCTCCCGCTCCATCAGACAATCTTCGACTCTTGGTATCTTTTAATCTCATCTTAAAACACATTTGTTTTCAAAAGCAAGTAATTATAAATGAGACTTAACTTTTTCACTTCTACAGTTTGTTATGGTTTATCGTGTTTGTTTTTAGTTTATAATTGTTCTTATGATCTTGCATCATGTTTTGTCTTTTTATTAGTTGTAATGTGAAGCACTTTGGCCAACAGTGGTTGTTTTAAATGTGCTGCACAAAGAACGCTGACTTCACTTGTGTTGGACTGACATTAAGTTTGTCTTCAGTGAGTGACGCCTACAGGAACTGATGAATACATCAGTCTGGTGAGGCGCAGATGAGTCTGATGTGTCAGAGAACTAAAATCTTCTGAGACATTACTGAAGTTAAATTTATCTTTCCTGTAGTTCTGTGAATTTCCAGTTCTTTAGCTCTTAGTCTGAGTAAAACTAACCACGAAAACTTGTGTTACTACCAGAAAATTTCATGTTAAATATCTGGGATACTTTTGAAACAATTTGTTATTTGTGTGCAGACCCCCAAGTATAAATGCAGCTGTTGTGTTGAGGTTCACATGGTCAGTGTATCTTTTGGTCATTGGATTTTCATTTTCGAAACGGGGCATTAAAAACAAGAAACGAGTGAATAGTTGAGTTTCATTTTCTGTTTCAGATAGTAAAAAAGAAAATTACTTTAAGACAGAAACGGAAAAAGGCTCGTTTGTTTGTATTCTACGCCTATCTATTCCCCCACCAGAGGAGGCGCTCACCTGGCAGCTCTGCATAATAAAATACTAATTTCTGTAAATAAAAGGCTGAAAACACAGAGAAATACGTCTATAAATGAGTTGTATGATGACTGTCGCTCTGTGACCAAAGGCTTTGCAGAGGTAATTCATGTGGCTTTTGGCCAAATAAGTCTTTTACTGAATACATCGGCTACTGCCTCTACTTCACCTCCATTTCTCTCAATAAAAAGCAAAATATGACAACTTTCATTCTAGTGTGTTGTACAGTTGTTGTTCTGTGAGCAGAAAGTTTTTTCCCTCCTGAGTTTTAACAAAATCTGTGCTTTTTTCTGTGAGTTTGTGTCCTCGGAGTTTTCCTTTCAGTGAGGGGTGGTACTRCGACTTTGATATTGATCTGATACCAAATAAATACTTTGCAAATATATTTGATACTGAAGTCAACATCAATGCTTTTTACTTGTAATGAGATGTTCACTGAATAACTTTGATATTGCAGACATGCCTTCTGGTGGTGAAACAGATTATTGTAGGGAGACAGTAAGTTGGCACGACTTGTCATGGATTATGAACAAACAAGCCTTTTTTTGTTTCTGTCTTAAACTAATTTTCTTTTTTG